AACCATCAGGAAGGAACCATAAGCTTAGGATAGCATGCAACCTCATCAATCTCAGGAAACACCATAGAAGTTACCTTAAGAACGGGCAAACTCAAACTACCACCATCAGGATTGCTTCTTAAATGATCAACCTGCTCCAACATCAACTAACTCCTTTATATGATCAAAATCCACAACACTCTCATTACCCACAAGAAGTTTTGAATGTGGAATATTGTTAAGGGAACAACATTCCAACTTCAAATGACCAAGAGATTTATTGTGCGTGCAATAAGAAGGAAATTCTTCATTGATAACAGCTTGAACATAACCCAAATTTTTATAACCAACCCACACCAAGTTCGGATAGTGTTTGGTCACATCTAGCTCAACTAGAACTAGAGTAATCGACGGCCTAGAACCACAAGCTATAGCATGGTCGGTTTTAAGAGGCCGGCCAAAGAGGGAGCCTAATCCATTAAGGATACAGGGTGAAAAATGGTGAGGTCTAGGATAGGGGAATGATACCCAAATGGGAATTAAGAGAAATTCCACCTCAACATAAAACATTGGAGAACACTTAAAAATCCTCATATAGCAATTGTTCACAAAATAAGACTGGTGAGCAAACACCCTATAATAATCCAAATTAGTAACCATCTTAATCAGAACATGCCTCATATTGAGAATGGTCATAAAAACTTCACTAATAAGTTTTAGATTGAAAAAAAAAAATTACGAATATGAATTACCTCAAGTGATTGACGTTGAGAAAAAAAATTACCAACATTGGCGAACGCAAAGGGTGCATCAAGAGCTAAGATTTTGCCTTCCGAAATCTAGAGTGACGCATGCCACAATGAGATGTAATTTTCAACTTAGGAAAACTCAAAGAATGAGAGTCATTAGATAATGAATCTTTGAAGGATGGACAGGAAGCTATCGCCATGAGATATTGGACATAGAATGCCAATTTAAAAAATGGAAAAAAAGGAGTAATCAGCCGTGACACGTTCACTAAAAAATTTTTTTTGTAGCTAATCATTTAGCGGGAAGAATTGAAAAACTCAACAGGAGGGAGGAGAAAGAAATCATAGTGACTTGGTCTCGGGCATCTACCATTATACCCACAATGATTGGCCTACATTTTTTTTTCTCACCAAAGACTTAGAACCATCATCAGGAACATTCTACTCAGGCATCCCGCACGGAGCAGCCACAAGTTTAGAAACATTTAGAGTGGGATGCAAAATAGGGCAGACATCCTTAGAATGACCTAAAGAATTACAAAGCATGCAGAAATGGGGAATATTATCAAAAATAACAGTTTGAACATAACCCGTTTCCACAGAACCAACCCAAATCTTTTCAGGATATTTCTTTGTAACATCCGATTCAACAAGAATACAAGCCATAGATGGACGGGAACCCAAAGAATCAGCCATATATGACTTGAGCGTGCGACCAAAGAGAGAACGCAAACCGAAGAGGATCCTAGGAGAAAAAAGATGGGGCCTAAGATGAGGGAAGGAAACACATATTGGCATAATAGGAGAATCCACCCCAACATCCAAATTGGGGGACCATTTCACCAGTTTCGTGTAATAATTTTGAACAAAATAAGATCTATGAGAGAAAATCTAGCAATAATCAAAGTCATTCACGAGTTTAATCAAAACATTCCTGGGGTTAAGAACATTGACTGAAATTCCCCCAACAGCTTCAAATTAAAGCAAAATTTACGAATGGCATCAACCGAAGGTCGTCTACCTAGAAAACGGCCAACCAAAGAAAACTCAAATGGTGCAGCAAGCGATTGAACCTCTTCCTCAGAAATTAACAGAGCCGGTAAACCCCGATGAGAAGATACACGTAAATCATGAAAAGAAGAAGAAGAAACACCAGATAAGGCTTCCTTGAATGAAAGAGGCGCAGAAGACCCATTCAGAAATTCAGGATCATGAAGGCGAGCAGACGTCATAAGCAGGAAAAAACAAACACAAAAATACCTAAGGATCTAGAGAAGAGAAACTTCCCCACAATGACAAACATCATTGAAGCGAATGGGAGGCGGAAACCCTAGCAGAGCAACGAAATAGGCGTCCATTATATACGACTGTAAGTTTATTAAATCAGAGTTAAGATGATCCCATATTTAATTTTTAAAGTTTCCAACTTGATTTTTGCCTCGAGATTCGTGCTTGATTAGGATAATTTATCAATTACTTAATTTTATTGTGGGCTTATTGGTGATGATATACATTGAAAATGGTGTGCATGTTGAACATTATCTTTGTTTGTGATGTTGGATGTCGATGTTCTTAGCAACATCAGTATTTGATTTTAGTGTCAACATTGGAGATTGGCCTTGTTCGCAATATTTGACATTAATTGAATAGATGTTCATGGTCGTTATCGATAATGGGTGTCGATGATGGTGTCAATGGTGAACTTCAACCTTGCTAATGACAATAAGTGTCGTTAGTGGCAATATAAGACATCAAAGTGCTGTTGAGGGGGAGCATTAGTCTTGTGGGCTATGTCGGACATCAACCTTGTTTGAGGTGGTACACATTAGTTTTGTTAGTGATGGAGAGCATTAGTATTGGTGGAAACAATGTATGTTGGCATTGGTTGTGATGAAAAGCTTTAGAGATGGTAATAATGCTAAGTGTTGGCATCATGTCGCAACATTGGGATTATATATTGTGTTTGAAAGTAATGTTTTTTATTAGTACTTTTATTGAAACCTTTTTGTGGCATCAATTAGTCTCATTAGGTGTGTTGAAGCTATGTCTACTAATAAATTTTTAGAAATGAATATTTTAATCATTTTGAAGAAAAAAACTACTTGATTGGACAATCCATATTATTATCCTTGATAATGTAATATTCTTTAAACATTTTATTTATTCAATAATATCAAAATCGAGCAATCATGAGCTCGTGATATATCTATCATCAAGATGCTCATTTTAATTATAAGCACATTATATTTAGTTATTATTTCATTCATCAAGGAATCTTATAAAAATTTAAAGTGCAATTTTGAGGTGTTAAATTAGGGTTGCAAATGAACCAAGCGTATGACGAGCTACTCCTGCCTCATCCGGCTCGGTAAGAGCTCGTTCATGTTCGTTTGATAAGGCAAACGAATGAGCTTGAACACTTTTGACAAATATTAAACGAGCTTGAACAACTTGGGGTTCGGTTCATTTACATTCATGAACAGTATCGTTCAACACTCGTGAAAAAGCTAGTTAAGATGCTTGATTAGAGATCAACTAAGAAGCTCGAATAGAATTGCATTAGACATTAAAAAAATAGATATAAATTATTAAATTATTGCTCTTTGAACTAATCTAATAAAAGCAATTGGAGACTTAGGCTTCGTTTGGGACGGCCTTTTTACTGCTTTCTAAAACGGAGTTTTAGTACAAAATTTTTTATTTTTGTACTAAAACTCCGTTTTAGGAAGCAATAAAAAAGCGGTCCCAAACGAAGCCTTAAAAAGCAATACTCTTCAATTTAAAAAGCAAAACTCTTCAATTGTTACTATATATAACTAAAGTTTAAAAGCAAAGATTCCATGTTTCTATCACTAAGACATTGATTGCAATATGTTATGCTGAACTTTAGTTAAAGCCACTAAATTATTCATATTAAATTTATCGAATTATAAACTTTCATCATCATCCCACTTAACGTTAAAGATATTGGAGGCTTAAAATCATGACTGATCGGTGGCTTTATTATTGAAGGTTTAAAACTATTAATTATAAAGAATAACATATCGAATATACTTGTATCCTCTCTCTCTCTCTCTCTCTCGAATTGAAATACATTTATTTTTATTTAAATTTACTTCATATTTATTTAATTATTATATATTTTAATATTTAAGAAATATTTCAATGATATGTATAATATAAGTCCATTCGTGTATTTTTTTTTTTATTATAGGCATATACAAGACTTTCTTTGGCGTGTCCCTTACAATTTGCTCATTTATGTTAAAAAATCATATTTTATAGGCTCATTAAAAAAATTAACTTTAAGCATGGAACAACCTTTTTTTAATTATTATTATTATACAGTTTTTTCGTCCATCTTTTCCTGATTATCTTTCTTTTCATTAAATCCTCTCAATTATTGATGATTAACTTTCTTTTTATTAATGCAACTAAACTTCTTTCCCAACTCCCAAAAAAAAAAAACAAGAAACATTTCGAAATCACTCAAAATGGTGTTTGATTTTGGAGAAATTATTACATACTTCAATCGAAATCGGCCACATCGTCTGTACACTGTATAAAATTTGCACAAAGTTTTTGTGCAAATTGTACATCGTAGTATGTGTACAGAATGATGTGGTATGGTCCTTTCATGATCTTGTTTTAATTCCCTTTTATCATCTACATCATTGGAGGTCTTAAGGTCTAATGAAAGACCTCTAAACTAACTTAGCATCTGCTAATCACTCAAAATTCATTATTTCTTCTTCTTTGAATCATCTCCAATCCACATTGAAGCTTCATCAATTATTCAGCTAAGGGTTTGGAAATGGCAGGAACAACCTCTTTGATCATCTCCAATCTATTGTCTTCCTTGGAAAGGTTGTCTCGTTTTATGCCTATGTTTATTTCATTGGGTGCATCTTCCTCATCATCCATAGCACAAGAAGAACTAAATGTTACTGAAGTTTATTCGATCCAAAAAATATTAATGGAGGATTTGAGCCGGTTGTCGAGGATGCTGCAAAGAATTCAGGCAGCCCTTTATGATGTCGAAGAGAGGGAGATCACTGAGAAGGCTATCCAGCTCTGGCTTAGCGAGCTTAGAGAAGTTGCTTATGACACTGAAGATATCTTGGATCAATATGATTATCAAGTTATCAAAACCCAATTGGAAGGAATGACAGTAGTAGTTGAAGCAGAGCCTTCTCTAAAGGGAAAACGAGTGGATGATAATGATGATGACGTTTAAGGCTACCAGGTATGTCTTGCACTCCTAATTTCAATTAAAATTCTAATTATTAAAAAGTGAATGGATATGTTTATCAATCTGTTGATCATGCATGAAAACTATGATCAGGTATCATTACCTCCCTTTAATTCAATTAAAATTCCAATTTCTTGTGATATGTCCATGAAGATCATTGAGGTCATAAAGAAATTTGATGAGATTACACATGATAGAAAAGCTCTTTATCTTAGAGAAGAAGATGCCCCTAGGCGACCTCGTTCCAATGATGCTATGAAGAGGCCACTAAGTAGTTCTCTTGTGCTTGAATCTGATGTTTTTGGAAGGGATGAGGAAAAAAGAAAGATAATTCAATTGTTAATGTCTCATTCTGAGAAGGAGAACATTGTTATTCCCGTTGTCGGCATGGGGGGTGTGGGAAAGACGACACTTACTCAACTTGTATACAATGATCCTGAGGTATGCCAGCATTTTAGCCTAAAGGTTTGGGTTTGTGTCTCTGAACAATTTGATGTTCTGAGAATAACAAAAGAAATTGTGTCATCCATTCTGGATTCATCCAAGTACAATGATAATAATAACTTGAATTATCTTCAATGTAAACTCAAGGATGCTTTGTTAAATAAAAAATTTCTTCTTATTCTTGATGATGTCTGCAATGAGAGAGTAGATATATGGGAAGCCTTACGAGCCCCCTTTTCTGGTACTGGAGTGAGAAAGATTATTATAACAACTCGATCTATATCAGTTGCTCACATTATGCAAACAGTGTCCCCACTTTAGCTTGAATGCTTGCATGAAGAGGAGTCATGGTTATTGTTCCAAAGACATGCTTTCCATGGTTGGAAGTTTGATCAACAACTTGGGAGGAGAATTGTTAAGAAATGTGGTGGATTGCCTTTGGCTTTAAAAGTTATTGGGGGGTTTCTACAAAATGAACTTAAGGAGCAAACATGGAATGATGTGTTTAATAATAATTTATGGGATCCCAAGGAAATTATTTTGTCTGCACTAAGGATAAGCTACAATCACTTGCCATCATACCTTAAACCATGCTTTTTATATGCATCTCTGTTCCCAAAGGATCATTACTTTGAGAAACTAGAATTGATAAGAATGTGGATCGATCAAGGTTATATTCAACTTACAGAAAGAAAATGTTTGTGGGAAGATATTGCAGTTGAATATTTTGAAGACTTGGTGAGAAGGTCATTCTTTCAATGCTCAAAACACAAACAATTCGTTTTACATGATATGGTGCATGATTTAGCTCAATCTATAACTAGAAATGAGATATGTTCTTCATTAGATTTTGATGAATTGAAGAATTTCCCCCAAAATGCAAAGCATGTATTCATAAAAGATGCAAAGTTTGATCAGGTTATTCCACATGGGAATATAAGAACACTTTACATTCATGAATTAGATCTTTTCTCTGCGGCGGTACATTATCAAAATTTTTGTTCCAAGATTGTATTCTCTCATTTGAGCTGCTTGCGTGTTTTGAGATTTTATGCACCTTATTTTAAATGCAGCTTTGAATGTATAAATTCGATAGGTTACTTGCAACAACTCCGTTACCTCTCTATCTGTGCAGTTGAAATCCATATGACAGAACACTCATTATGTAGCCTTTACAAGTTACAAACACTAATACTCCAATCTGAATTTATAAGTATGCCTCCCCATGCAATGGGAAAACTTATCAGCTTACGTCACTTGATGATTAGTGCAAGATGCAATCTAGTTGCGGTGCCTCAATCATATTTCGGGAGAAAAAATCTCCTTTCTTTTAGATTTAAACAAAAAGGATATGAGTTTTTGGGATCTGCAAGAGAAGAATTGTTTGAATCTACATTTGACGTAATAAGAGATGACCCCTATTCTAATATTAGATGGTTGAAACCCCTAACAAATTTACAAAAATGCCTGAAGCTTTATAGGCTTGAAAATTTTTTCGATCGTGAAGATGCAAAGAGTGCCAATTTACAAAGTAAGCCATATGTCGAGAGTCTATCACTTATATGGAAATGTCGTAAATATGATAAATGTGCAAGGAATGATAAAGCTATTCTTGAAGGCCTCCAACCCCACACAAACATTAAAGAGTTGACAATAAAAGGCTACAATAGTAGCAGCTTCCCAAGTTGGTTTGGAAATCCTCACTTCTCCAATTTAACAAAAATAAGGTTGAGAAAGTTCTACAACAATGAAGAATGCAAGTTTCTTCATTTGTCCAAGCTACCATCTCTCACATCACTTAAAATTAAAGTTAATGAAGGGATAACTAGAATTGGGCAAGATTTTTGGTGTTATAATTTTCCTCCTGATTGGCATGAGAATTACTCTATAGAGGCACATATGGATTTTCTTTCATTCGAATATCAGACACATAAAAGTTTGCATGAATGGAAAGAGCGGCCAATGGAGAGGAATGGAGATTTCTTGAGCCTTAAGTGTTTACACTTAATAAATTGCCACAAGCTGCAACTGATATCAAACCTCCCATCAAGACTTGAGACAATTTATGTGCGATCCTGTGAAAGCCTTGAATATATTAAACTTCCTTACAGCTCACGACATCTTTTTAGGCTTCAAAAAGTGAAAATTCATCATTGTCACAATCTCAAGTCAGTGATCAACTTGAATAATCTTCTTGGCACTCTTAAACTTTTGAAGTTAGATAGTTGTTACCGACTTAGGCCCGATCTTGATGAAGAATTTGATCATTCATTTAGAAGAGTTTCATTTGAAGAAGGCTTTGCACTTGTAATTGAATGTCCAAGGATGAGAGAGTGGTGCCAATGGCATGGTTTCACCTATGAAGAGGTATGTATAGGAAATCAATTCCAATATAAAATTTAGGCTTTGTTTGGGAGGACTTTCTTACTGCTTCTTAAAGCAGCTTTCTAGTATAAAACTTTTAACTTTTATACAAGAAAGCTGCTTTAAAAAAATAAAAAAACCTTCCCAAAGGAAGCCTTAGTCACATTAATTCAGCTATTTCAATATAATTTAGTCATCTCAATTTCAATATTTGTGCTAACAATTTAATTACTTTTGGGGGAATTATGTCATTGTTTTTTTATTTAAATTAAGAATCTTAATACTTCAAATATAATTTATAAACATTCTAAAGACATAGTTTGATATGAAATAAAGTATAGGAATTTTAATATTCCTACCTACTACTAATTATATTAATTCTTTATTAAAAAAGAAAACTCAAATGCAGATTCTAACAGTATTCTAACATTACTAATTATTACTGTTTATATTATATTAATTATGAATAAAAAAACTCTAACAGTATTCTAATTGTTTGCAGGGCGATTAAACGGCGGATGATAGGGCTTCGTTAAAGTCACTACCAAAAAACGAGAGTTTTCGCAGCGGTTATTTGCACCGGTTTTGAAAACCGCTGCGAAAACCAATTTTGCTAGTCTTTATCAGGTCGATTTCGCTAGTCTTTATCGCGGTTAAAACCGCCATAATTCTGTATATTCGCAGCGGTTAAGACCGCCGCAAAAAAATGCTAGACATAAACGCTACCCCGCCGGTCTTGAAACCGCTGCGGAAGGCCGTTGCAGCGGATAGCAAAAACAGCGGCTATGCAGCGGTTCGCCGACCGCTGCAAATTAAATTTTAGCGGGTATAACCGCCGGGAAAAGTCAAATATTATGCTGCGAAAACCCTATTTTTTGGTAGTGAGTATTTGGTTGGCACCTTCATTATCTCCTTTCTATAATAATCTTTCATAAAATAAATCATTTAGAAGTATTTTGTTCCCTTATATATTCGATAAGGATCTTCGGACTCATTTGATTGACTACATGGCAATAAAAAAATTTGTTTAAGAAAAAAATAACTTTGACTGATCATTTTAAGCTTTAAAATAAAACAATCATCCTAAAAAAATGTAATTAAAAATATAATTCCTAATTAACCTTCAATTAAAAAAATTAATTAAAGATTCTCTCTCTCTCTATATATATATATATATAGTTTGAGTATGAAATATAAGAATTTTAACATTACTACTACTTGTATTACTAAACTCTAAATAACAAAATCTAATACTAATTCTGATGGTTTGCAGGAATCTGATGACAGCTCTTCTGAGGAGGTATGTGTATGAATTTTAAGCCTCAAAATGAAATCGTCATCCTTGAAAATTAAAAATCATTAAGATCTGTATTTTAATTAATATTCAAAATATAATTTCTATCCACCAATTAATCAAATTAATTAATGAATCGTTACATATGTAGTTTGAATATAAAATATAAGAATTTTAACATTGCTATATTAATTAACAATGAATAACAAATTCTAACACTACCTCTCTATGGATTGCAGGTATCTGATGACAGCTCTTCCGACATATCTGACGAGGAATGTGTACGAATTTTAAATTTGAAAATGAAATAGTCAGCACCAGCCAAGGTCCGACAATGATATGGATAGCATATTCTAACACTAATACTTTCATTCTAATGGTTTGCAGATTCAATGTGAGCTCCAGCCCAGATTCGACGACTTTATGTGGAAAAGGTTATGTTGTAGTTCACTTAGCATTTCCAAAATAAATCAGCGTAAAATATTTATTTTCGATATTATGGTATGAATTTGATTTTCTTTAATTTAGTTTAATTAATTTCTTTTATTTTCTTTAGTTTAGCCAAATTTCTGAAGTGATGCTCTTAAGCTACTAGTAAATCTTGAAATTGCATGCTCGTTATAGAGGTCAAAGGCAGTGACATGAATTTATATTGGAATATATGTTGAACTCTTCTATTGAATGTTTTTTTTTTACCCGTATGATAAGCCTCCTTTCTATAATAAGCCTTTCTATTATGAAATGTAAGGAATTTAATTTTGCTATTACTTGTTTTAATTAATTATGAATAACAAATTCTAACACTAATAATTCTAATGATGTGCAGGAATCTAATGACGACGAGGAATGTGTATGAAAATGAAATCCTCATCCTCGAAAATTCTGACACTAATTCTAATGCCTTGCAGGATTTTGACGACAACCATGTCTACAAGGTATGTGTATGAATTTTAAGCTTGCAAATGAAATCGTGGTCCTTGAAATTAAAATCAATTAGATCTATATGTTAATTAATATTCAAAATATAAGTTCTAAGCACCAATTAACCAAATTAATTAACAAATCTTTACATAGTTTGATTATGAAGTGTAAGAATTTTAACATTGCCATTACATGTATAAATTAACTATGAATAACAAATTCTAACAATAATTCTATTGGTTTGCAGGAATCTAACGACAACTCTTCCGATAAGGTATTTGTATGAATTTTGAGCTTGAAAAAAGAAAACGTCATCCTTGAAAATTAAAAATCAATGAGATCTATATTTTAATTCATATTAAAATATAATTTCTAACCTTCAATTAAAAATTTTAATTAACAAATATATATATATATATATATATATATATAGTTTGAATGTGATGAGTAAGAATTTTAAAATTGCTACTACTTATATTAATTAAGTATGAATAATGAATTCTAATACTCATTCAAATGGCTTTGCAGGATTACGATGACATCTTTGGCTATAATGGTATGTGTATGAGTTTTAAGCTTGGAATTGAAATTGTTATCCTTGAAAATTAAAAAACAATGAGATCTATATTTTAACTAATATTCAAAATATAATTTCTAACCTTCAATTAACAAAATTATATATTGTTGCGTCTACGATGATTCACGGCGGTAGAGAGATATGAAGTTTAACATCTTAGCGTTGTACGAAAATCCTGCACGAAATCAGATAAGAGAGTGTGTAGCATTCATAGGAGACACCAAGATTTTTACGTGGAAAACCTCTGAAAAGGGGGAAAAACCACGAGGCCTAGCCCAGTTTGATTGAATCCACTAGTATTGCAGTTGATTACAAATGAGGCCCTTCCTTGGGAGAAGGCCTTAGCTTGATATACATTTTATAGAGTACATTACATGATGTGAATATAAAGAATCACTATTGACGTGCTCGTTTGGTTGGGAGGATCATAGTCTAGTGACGGAGGTCAGAAAGGCTGTAGTCTGCGGACGACGTAAGTCAGGAGGACCGTAGTCGACGGGCGACGGAGGTCGAAAAGACTGTAGTCGGCGGGCAACATAAGTCAGGAGGACCGTAGTCGGCTGGCGATGAAGGTCGAAAGGACCATTGTCTTGCGACGGAGGTTGGAAAGGACTGTGTCTGACGATGAAGGTCAGAAGGACGGCATCAGGTAGAAGTCCAACAATGGAAAGAAATTCATCTTCGGATATACGTCCAATGAAAGTCCGATAACCGGTAGAAGTCTGACATCGAGTAGAAACTTGGCGAAGAGTGAAGGTCCAGTGTCGGGTAGAAGTCCGACATCTGTTGGTGGCTGAGGAAAACTCCGGCATCACTTTGACTGTAAGTTTGCTGTAATCAGAGTTCATGTTATTCCGGATTTAATTTTTGAAGTTTATGGCTTGATTTTGCCTCGAGATTCGTGCCTGATCAAGATTATTTTATGATGACGTATCATATAGATTGAATATGAAATGTAAGAATTTTAACATTGCTACTACTTATATTAATTAAGTATGGGTAGGAAATTCTAATGGTTTATGAGCACCGATGAATTCTAGATTTCTTAGGGAAGTGATACATGTATGAATTTAAAATCAATGAGATTTATAATTTTATTAATATTTAAAATATGTATTTTGTATGCTTCAATATTCAACCAAATTAATTAAAGAACCCTTGGTTTGATATGAAATCAAGTGTAAGTATGTTAACATTGCTACTACTTTAGCTATGAATAACATATTATAACACTTATAGTTTTATGCTAATGGTTTGCAGATTTTGATCCGGAGCCAGCGATTGCGCTAGCGAAGTTATATTTTGGAAGAGGTTGTGTTGTTGTTCACTTAACCTTTCCAAAATAAATCATTGTAAAACATTTATATTCGATATTATAATATCAATTTGATTTTCCTTAATTTAGCCTAATTAATTTCTTTTATTTTCTTTAGATTAGCCAATTTCTGAAGTGCTGCTCTTAAGCTACAAGTAAATCAGGAACCTGCATGCTCGTTATGGAGGTCAAAGGCAGTGGCATGAATTTTATATTGGTATATATGAACTCTTCCATTTTTTTTTAACCCAAAACACAAATTTATTCATAGCAAATAAAAAGGAGATTACAACAGCTAAAGGCCATATGTTGAACTCTTCCATTGTTTTTTTTTTTTCCTCTCTTTTAGAAGGGCTTTGCCCATATGCATGTAGCCTTTCCATGATCATTTTCTGAAACTAATGCTCTGATTACTATTCAAAATTTTTTGTTAAAATGAAATGATATTATTATATAGAAAAATATTTGAATATTAATTAAATATTAATAGTTTGATTTTAATGCTTTGCAGTATTGACCGTGGAGCAGCAACTTTTGGAGCTCACTAAGTCTTGTCGTCCTTCCTATAATAAATCTTTCTAAAATATATAATTATAAAATATTTATTTTTGTTATTGTGGGAGGTCTTATTTTTTATGTGAGACTATAATTCCTCTTTATAAAGAGGATTAAGGACATATTATTTAGCTATATCAACAGTTAAAGCAACTTAATTAGAACATTAAATGGTGGTGTTGTGGATTTGGTTGATAATCATGCTCTGTGATTTCGTAACAAATGCAGCTTTTTTTGCACCCATTCATTTCCCTTCAACCTCTTCTGCTCTTTGCTTTATTGAATAACAAATGTTAAAACAAATTCATTGATTTTTTCAATTCAGAATTTTTTATTTATGAGAAGTTGCATAATATATAGATTGTATTCATTATAATATATATCCATCAAACCATATCTTATATAATTACGTGGGCCAATATTTGATTGGAAAGTTATCTCTTTGACTGAGCAATTTGAGATGGCCCTAAATCGGAGGAAAGAAGTTGGAGTTTTGATCCATTTGTCTCCCTCCCCTTCAATCATGTTATAAAATTTTTTTACTTCGGGCATTATAAAAACTCCCTTGCAAATCCATTTCAGAAAACTCATTTCATCATAGAGATAAAGAGAGGGAGTAGATAGAAAGGGAGGGGAGGAAGGCAATGGGGCCCGTCGACTCACCATCCCCAGCTCGCCTTCACACTTGCCCTTGCAGCCTCGTCCTTTTGCCTTCTCGTGCTTGCAAAGGTGCACTTGCACCACGGACTCTCCCTTCCCCGCTCGCGCTCGCACTTTCCCTTGCCCGCTCGCGCTCATACTTGGCCTCGCCCTTACTCTAACCATCACCCTCGCTCACTCATGCTTACACAATCGCTCTCAACCTCACACACTCACCCTTACCAGCTCGCACTCGCCCTCATTTTTGCATTATCCTCGCCCTCGCCATTACCCTCACGGCCTTTCCCTCACTCACTCATGCTCAAACAATTGCACTTTCCCTTGTGGCCTCTCCCTTTCCAACTCGTTTTTGCACTCGCTCTAGCCCTAGCCTTTAAGGCCATTCCATACACACTCATGCTTGCACAATCACACTTTCCCTCGAAGCCTAAGTAAGGGTAGGGTACATAGGTAAGGAGTAGGTGTAGGTAGGGGGATATGAGTAGTTGAAGGTATAGGTAGGTAAGAGTAGGTATGGGTTGGGGGATCGAGAGGTGGAGGGTGGAAGTAGGTATAGGTGAAAGGGGTATGTAGCTGTAGAGTTAGGTGTAGGTGCATGGTTGTGGTAGCTGTAAGTGTTAAGGGTAGGGTAGACAGTTGTATATGTGTAGGGGGTAGAGGTAAGAGGTAGAGTTAGGGATAGTGGTAGGGGGGTGGGGGTGGGGGTGAGGATAGAAGCACTACATAAAAATCATGTATTACCGACGAATTTTTCGGCGAATTTTGAAAGCTTACGGTGAATTTTCGGCGAAAAATTTTTCACCGGTAAAACACAGGTCTGAAAAAATTTTCGGCAAAAAAAAATTGTCGGATTTTCCGGTGGATTATTTCCACCGAAAATTTGTCCGATCGCGTGCCGGCGGAAAAGTCGAGGGAACAATTAAAAAGAAAATTTCAAAACTTGTCATCCCAGCCCAAACGCCAGCATGCCCGCAAGCCCACGCCTAAACCCACATGCTCCACACCGCTTATGCTGCCAGCAACATGAGTTGCGCTGCCCGCTAGCCCATCCCAGTTTTTGTGAGGAAACCAAGGATTGGCAGATGGAGATAAGGATGAGGATGGCACACAGCATGGACCATTAAGAAAAGCATTATAGTTAAGCTGATGACTTTAATGATGCTCTTATTATAAAATTTAAAAGTAATCTATTTATGGAGCATCCTGATCAACTTTAAATTTCATTTACACCTTCTTATGATCCTTTTTTTAGCAGCCCAGTGAGAGGGGTCATGATGATGATGAGGAAGACCCATATTCAGCTAGTTAAGAGTTTTTTTTTATTTGGCTTGATGAGAGAGAGAGATTGAATACTAATTTTATTTTGCTTTTTTTAGTTATTTTCTTGGGGGGATCTTAGTGACATATTGGAGTACTATTTTGGTGTTAACATGATTGGAGTTATGGCTATAACAGCCATTGTATTGTGATAATTAGAGTGGTGTCTTAAGTACTAGTTATCATGTACCCTTTATTAAGTTTTGTATATATTATTAAAACTTGTTCAATATGAATTAGGTTGTTAAACCTAAGCTTATGTCCCAGCGGCTAACCAAGAGGGGGAGCTTTTGATCATTCATTTGGAAGAGTTTCATTTCAAAAAGGCATAACACATGTATATAAAGATAAGGTACCTAGATGAAATCATTTCAAAATAAAATTCAAATATTTTCTCTATCTCTTTCTCCATCTCTATCTTAATCATTGAGCTAACAAATTAAATAACTTTTGAGGATTATATCAAATTTTTACCTATTTAAATTAGTTTTACTTTAGCATTATATAATAAATTTAATTTGTTATCAAAAAGGCATTATAGCATTATATAATAAATTTTACACTAATTCTAATCGAATTTCTAAATAATCTCTCTTATTCGGAAAGATTATTTATTTTAATTAAAAATAAAAAAAAGTTATTTCTTGCAATTGGTGGCACGCACTTTCATTTTGTCCTTTCTATGATAAGCAACCTTCCCATAATAATAGGCCTTCATAAAATAGTTCATTTAAAAATATTTATTTCAATAAAAATTTTAAACTATTTCTTATATTTGTTTGCTCATCGAGAAAAAATTTATTTTTGAAATAATGATTTTGTTTTGGCAGATTATTTTATGCTTTAAAAAAATATAATCATCCTTATAACCATAAAATCAATGAGATTTATAACACTATTAATATTCAAAGTATAATTTAAAAACTTCAATTAACTAAATTAATTAATGAATCCTTACATAATTTGATAGAAAGTGTAAAATTTTGAACATTCTACTTCTTGTTTATTTTAACTATGGATAACAAATTATAATATTGATCTAATGATTAGAAGGATTTTGATAGCAGCATCTAGTGTTTAGATGATCGTCTTCGAACAACAAGTTATGCTAAAGTTCTCACCTAGCTCATTCCATTTTTAGTATTTTGATACAAATTTTATTTTATTTTTAAGTTTTAATCCATGATGGGTATACTCAGCTCCTAAAAAAGATTCCATGTCTTTGAAGAGAAACAAAGAAGAAAGAACATTTCCTGCATATATTATGATATGTAGTTTCCTATCTATGGCTAAGGATGCAATTGCTATGTCTTCTCTATCCCAAAAAGATTGCGAGGTACTATTTTTGCTAATAACATTACCACTACATAATATTAACAATACATTTAAACTTGATCTTGTTTAACAGTGCAATCGTTGGCATCGGATTCGGCGGGAGGATTCACAAGATGAATTAGAAGATCTATAATTGAAAACTCTCCAGCTCGTTTCATGTGATTTTAGCTACTTTATTACTACTTTTAATAATGTTATAGTATAATTTTTAGCTTCCAGTAGTTTCCAATATGTTTGTATTCGTGAAGTTGCTAGTAGTATGGTTTTATTATCCCCATTAATTTATGAGAAATGATACGATCAATCTCAACCACCTAACAACAATATTCACAATCACAATTTAACTAACTAAAATCTTTTGTTTTAGTGTATTTGAATCCTGTAATGTATATTACTTCTTCTGTTCATTTTTTAATCTTTGTCTCTCTGATTAGTTGAATAGCAAATGCAAAAAGTTAAAATGAAGTAACACATAGCTTGCATTGTAATAACTCTCACAACAAGTATAATATTTTTATTTATGGTTATTTCAGAATTATTTCTATTTTTTAATTTATTTTATTTATGTTTTGATATGAAATTAATATAAAATTCTTTGTTTTAATTTTCTTTAATATTCTATTCATTCTATTCTAATTTTTTAAAAAAAATTTAAAAATAAATATATTTGTCATCTCATTTCCAGGTGGTCTTCATTTGAGGGCGAGATACATATATAAATTTAAAATTTAGAAATCTCTTTTCTAATTTCATATGTAATCAATCGCAACCCTTATAATACAAAATTTAGGCCTCGTTTGGGACGGCTTTCTTACCGCTTCTTGAAGCGGCTTCCTAGTACAAGAATTAAATTTTTTGTACTAGAAAGCCGTTTTAAGAAGCAGTAGGAAAGCCGTCCCAAACGAAGCCTTTGTGACATTAATTAAGCTTCTCTCTCTCTCTCTCTCTCTCTCTCTCTCTCTCTCTCTCTCTCAAGTTAGTGACCAATTTGAATAATATTAATCTTGGCACTCTTAAAGTTTTAATTTTTTTTACAGTGACCGACTCAAGACCGATCGAGATGAAGCTTTTGATCATTTATTTGGAAGAGTTTCATTTCAAAAGACATTGCACAAGTATATGAAGAAAATGTATGTATATGAAATCATTCAAAAAAAAAAATTAATATTTTCTTTGTCTTTCTCCATCTCTATCTTAATCATTGAGCAAACAAATTAAATATTTTTTGGGGGATTATATCATTTTTTTCCTTATTTAAATTAATTTAATTTTAAGGCATTATAGCATTGTATAGAAAATTTTTAACTAATTCTAATATAATTTCTAAAAAAATTCTAATAATTGGTATGA